TGACGATGAGGGCTACTTCATTTCTTCTAAGGGACTGCCTAATTTTCCTCTTATTTAAGTTTGACTCTTTCCTTTGGAATTATATCCAAGAGATATAACCTTTAGTTTTGTTTATTAATGTAGTTTAATAATGTTGTGAAACATTAATTGAATTGAAAATTATTAGCATAATTGTTAAGATAGCTCAGTAGGTACAAGGGTTACAGTAAGATTTCTTTCATCAACAGGGCTGAACTTAACTTTAAGAAATGAAGCTCTTGGTGTGGATGTGGAGAAAAGGGAACCCTTGGGCTCAGTTCATGAGATTGTAAATTGTAAATTTCTCAAGATAGAAAACAGTATGGAGCCTCTTCAGAAAATTAAAAATGGAACTGTCATATGAGCTACTAATTCCCCTTCTTTTCTTTTTATTGTAGCTATGTGGGATAATGGGTGTTAACTAAACCTATTGTGGTAATTACTTCATAGTATATGTGAATCAATACATCATGCTGTATGACTTTAATTTCTAGAATGACTTATGTCAGCTATTTCTCAGTAAAACTAGAGGGAATTCCCTGGCAGGTAGGACTTGGCACTTTCACTGCCAGGGCCTGGGTTTGATTCCTGGGCCACGTGGCATGGACCAAAATATCAAAATAAAAAAGTAAAATAAAACTAGAAAAAAAATTTTAATGGACGCTCTTAGGTAACAAGAATAAGGTGTTCGGGGCATATTAAGTGCTGATCACAAGGTAATTCACTGTTACTGAACCTTTTAAATTGGCCCAGCTGTTCAAATTACTTTCTGAGGAGAAGAAAGATTTAAAACTTAAATAATTGAGGAATGATCCTAAGGGTAAGGAATGTAATGTAGTTAGGTGCTAGATAATGGAGTTTCAGTTTTCATTATTTAGAAAACATCTCTCTTGACTCATACTCCCTATTCTGGTGTTTTCAACCTTCCTCATTCTACTTATTATTCTCTGTAGGATTTCCCCATAAAGAGTTTTATTTATAATTTACTTATTTTGTTTATTTTCTGGCTTCTCCCACAAGAATGAGGGTAGGCATCTTTCTCTGTGCTGTTCGTTGAGGTAGCTCAAATCTCTAGAACAACTGAATTCACTTAATCACTTTGTGCCTCATTTTCTCCATCTGTACAATGGGTCAAAATAGCATCTATCTCAGGACTTAAGTGACTGAACAACAACAAAAATGTGTATTTTTTATTGGCTCAGAATAGTTCCTACAGCATACTAAAGAGCTACATAAATGCTTGCTACTACCATCATTATTATTAGTTCAGATAGCAAAAGCTGCGTGTGCAGAGACATGAAGGTGGGAAGCAGTATGATGTGATGGGGGATTGGATGGTAGTAGTGATGATGCCCATAAGGAACTGGGATGGTCAGGGTCATGATATCATGACCTGAAATCATGTTACATGTTGCATTTCTCAATGATTAACGGTCTATTTCTCCCTACTAAGATGCAAGCTCCAGGAAGACCCCCACGAGGCATTTGTGTGATGAATCACTGTATCCCAACATCATTCAACCACCTGCCTGAGGTCACCCAGCAGAACAGCCACAGCTCTGGACTGCCAGCCTGGTGCCGTTTCCAGAGCTCCCAGGCGAGTGAGGGAGCTTGGGCTTTGGGCTCACCTAGCTTTCCTGAGCCTCAGTTTCATCATCAGCAGGATTGTTAGGGGTTGACTGGGTGCATATCTCTTGTGAAGCAATGAACAAACTGCCGGGCACCCAGTCAGTGCTCAAATAAATGTTTATTTACCGTTCATTTCCCTTAAGAAGATGAGTGATTTGGAACAACGTGGTCGGGATGGAACTGGATGCTGTGACCTGAACGGCCGCAGGCCTGGCGGCAGGATGCATGCGGCCTCCCTGCCCCCTCCGGGCCCCGGGCTCCTTGGTCCATGGGATTCTCCAGGCAAGGATACTGGGGTGAGTTGCCATTTCTTCCTCCAGGGGATCTTCCCGACCCAGGGATCGAACCCAGGGCTCCTGCATTGCAGGCGGATTCTTTACTGTTTGAGCCCCGGGGAAGCCCAAAGATGCTACTAGCTCAGGCCACAGCTGCCCAGTGTGGGCGTGGTCAGCTCAGGCCTTCGCGGTCGAGTGTGGGCGTGGCCAACGCTCCCTCCTCTTCCTGCCACTCTCCGGGTTCCGCCCCGCGGGCTCAGTCCGCAGGAGGGCCTGCTTTCTTGCTGGCAACAGTATTTGACGGTTAGATGCCGCCAGAGGAATGACTGAGGAGGAGGCATCTGCGTTTAGAAGGTAGGACACGCAGAGGGAGGAGAGCTGGGAAAGCTTGAGAAGGTGTTTTCTTTGAAGGATTCCTCGGGCTTTGGGGACTGGAGGTGAAGTGGGTGTGGAACTTGGGGAGAGGAAGGAGCACACGGAGCCAGCCGGCCAGTCCCAGGGGATCCTTTGCACCTGAGTCCTGAGATTTCCAGGGTTCTGTCACAATCCATACATTATTTCTTCAAGGCATCTCTGTTTATCAGGCTCCTCTGGTCCTGTGGGGAAAATGAAACTGAAAGCAGGACTCTCCTTTTGCAGGGCTTTTGTTGAGCTGTTTTTATTTTCTACTCTGATGTTTTACTCGGGTTTCTTTTATTATTATTATTATTATTATTCCCTGGAACAGGAAATGGCAACCCAGTACTCTTGCCTGGAAAATTCCACGGACAGAGAAGCCTGGTGGGCTACAGGCCGTGGAGTCTTACTACTATCTTTTTTCTTTTTTTGGCATTTCCTCATAAGTTAGTCCAAGGTGTGGTGTTCTTAAATGATTGTATTACTTTGAAGCTAGCAGCTGAAGGAAGTGCCTGGAATAAATAAGGAAGCAGAGAGGAAAAGAAGTTTGAAGAAACACTGAATCCTCCAGGTTTCTTTGAGCTTCTTTCTTTCCTTGATCTTTTCCAGCCCACCTCACACTCATTGTCACTAAAGTTGTTTACATAAACATTTGATCCAAAGAGTTCATTGCTGGGTGACTGTGCTTCCGCTGCACATTTGGTTAGCTCTCTGAGGGTAGAGGCTTTGAGACTGTCAGGCAGGTGGGACTGCAGAAAAATAGTTGCTTTGTGATTTTTGTAGCAGAAGCAGTTATAAACATTCAGGTAAGTTTGCTGCCCTCTGCCCTCTGAATTGTATCTAAATGGCTCAGATCTGATGGAGGGCAGTTGGACTAAATTGACATTTCCTAGGTTCCCTATTTGTGTAGCCTGTAAAGCACTGGGTGGGAAGAACAGGATGTGTTAAGGTTTTTTTTTTTTCTTTTCATAAAGTGATGTAATTAGCTCTACCATTTATTGAAGGCCTAATATTTCCCCCTCTCCCTCCTTCAGTGCACTTTATATGGGGGGCTATATTTATTGTTGCCCCCATTTGAGGGAACAGAAAATTCAGACTCGATAATCTAAGGTTACACAGTTACAAAGAGTCTAGAGTTACACAATGAGGGGCCAAACTTAGACCTTGCAGAGGTGGGAGTTCGAGTTCTTTCCTCTACTCCAGGAGTCCCCAGCGCCTGGGATCTAATGCCAGATGACTTGAGTTGGAGCTGATGTAATAAAAATAAAGTGCACAATAAATGTAATGCTCTTGAATCATCTCCAAACCCACCCCTTCCCCACCCCCAGTCCATGGAAAAATTGTCTTCCACGAAACCGGTCCCTGGTGCCAAAAAGGTTGTGGACTGCTGCTTACTCTACACTACTTTGAATAGGAGTGCACACTTTTGCACTTGCAAAGAGCCAGGAATGGACTGAGCATGCTCAACCAGAAATGCAGATTGGCGAAAAACACGTATTTTCTTATTAAATAAGGGTTCTGGTTTTTTAAAGAGGTCATTTATTTCTAGTAAGAGTGTGTTTGGCATTGGAAAAAAATGTATTAATATAGGTTGAGAATCCTAAAAACAATCATAGCCTTTGACTGGTCATTTAGTTCTTTGAAATTAATCATAAGAAATCTATTATAATATTATAAGATCTCTCATAAGAAAACAAGATAAAATAAGCTAAGTTTGCTGCAACATTATTTAGAATTGTGAAAAAAAAATCTAATTTTGAAACTCTGGTTTAAAAGTTACTTTAAAAATCTGCTCAGTATTAGGGAACTGAAACACCTCTCTAATGGTCTATTGCAGATATTAAAATATTTTAAAATACTTTGTAATAACACAGGACATTAGTAAGGTATTAAATGAAAGGAAGCCAAATACAAAGTTACAGATCATGAGCCCAACTATTTTAAAAAATAATTTATAGACTATACTAAAATATTAACTATTCCTGTTTCTAAGCAGAGGGAGAATAGAGTAATACGTTTCTTGTTTAAAATTTACATATATTTATGTTGTTGTTGCTGTTCAGTTGCTAAGTTGTGGCTGACTCTTTGTGACACCCTGGACTGCACACACCAGGCTCCTCTGTCCTTCACTGTCTCCTGGAGCTTGCTCAAATTCACGTCCATTGAGTTGGTGATGCTGTCTAACCATCTCATCCTCTGTTGCCCCCTTCTCCTCCTGCCCTCATTCTTTCCCAACATCAGGGTCTTTTCCAATGAGTCAGCTTTTCACATCAGGTTGCCAAAGTATTGGAGCTTCAGCTTCAGCATCATTTCTTCCAATGAATATTCAGGCTTGAACCCCATGAACAGTATGAAAAGATATATATTTATAATATTCTCTAATAAAAAATTCTATGATAGATGTGTTTTGAAAACATTGCTAGTGAAATTAATTTCTCTAATTCAAATGTTTTCTCACTCTGATAACACTACAAATTACCTCTCTCATCTCCAGGTGAAAAGTCAGAAGACCCCAAGAATATTGGTGCCTCCTCACACGGATGGCCTGTAGCCAGACAATTCCTATTTCCCCTGACAGGAGTTTCTAACAGTTCCATGTCTCTTTGATCAAATCCCAAGGAGATGAGTTTTCATTTTCTCAAAGAGAAGGCAAGAAAGTTGTAGCCAGTGGTATATACCATCATGGAGACTGAGAGCCATAACAACCCTCAGGAAAGACCCACACTCTCTAGTAATGGGAAGGCTTCAAGGGAAGACAATCATTTGTTGATTAAAGCTGTGAAAGATGAAAAGATTGAGTTGGTCCAGCAATTGCTAGAAAGAGGGGCTGATGTCAATTTCCAGGAAGAATGGGGCTGGTCACCTCTGCATAATGCAGTACAAGTTGGCAGGGAGGACATTGTGGATCTTCTGCTTAGTCATGGTGCTGACCCTTGTCTGCGGAAGAAGAATGGGGCCACTCCCTTCATCATTGCTGGGATTGTCGGAGACGTGAAGTTGCTCAAACTATTACTTCCCAAAGTAGCAGATGTCAATGAGTGCGATGTTAATGGCTTCACAGCTTTCATGGAAGCTGCTGTGTATGGCCAAGTCGAAGCCTTAAGGTTCCTGTATAACAGTGGAGCAGAGGTGAATTTGCACAGAAAGACAGTGGAGGATCAAGAGAGGATTAAGAAAGGAGGGGCCACTGCCCTCATGGATGCTGCTGAAGGAGGGCATGTAGAGGTCGTGGAGATCCTCCTTCACGAGATGGGGGCAGATGTCAATGCCCGGGACAATAGGGGCAGAAATGCTTTGGTCTATGCTCTTCTGAACTCTGATGTTGAGAAGGTGAAAGCCATTACTCGCCTTCTGCTGGACTGTAAGGTTGATGTCAACGTGAGGGGGGAAGGAAGGAAGACGCCGCTGATCTTGGCAGTGGAAAAGAAGAACCCGGATCTGGTGCAGATGCTTCTGGAACAAACAGCTATAGAGATTAATGACACAGACAGTGAGGGTAAAACAGCATTGCTGCTTGCTGTTGAACTCAAGCTGAAGAAAATCGCCGAGTTGCTGTGTCACAAAGGAGCCAGCACAAAATGCGGGGACCTTGTCACAATAGCGAAGCGCAATTATGACTCTGACCTTGCAAAGTTTCTTCGCCAGCATGGAGCTGTAGAAGACGTTCAACCTCTCGATAAAGCCTGGAAGCCTCAGAGCTCACGTTGGGGGGAGGCCCTGAAACATCTCCGCAGGATATCCCGCCCTATGATAGGCAAACTCAAGATCTTTATTGATGAAGAATATAAAATCGCTGACACTTCTGAAGGGGGCATCTACCTGGGGTTCTATGAGGAACAAGAGGTAGCTGTGAAGCGGTTCTCTGAAGGCAGCACACGGGGACAAAATGAAGTCTCTTGTTTGCAGAGCAACCGAGCCAACCGTCACGTGGTGACATTCTATGGCAGTGAGAGCGACGGGGGCTGTCTGTACGTGTGCCTCGCCCTATGTGAGCACACGCTGGAGAAGCATTTGGCCGACCGCAGAGGAGAGGCTATGCAAAACAAGGAAGATGAATTTGCCCGAAACATCCTCTCATCTCTGTTTAAGGCTGTTGAGGAACTACACCTGTCTGGATACACTCATCAGGATCTGCAACCACAGAACATCTTAATAGGTGAGTCCCCAGTCTTCTCTTAGAAATGTAGGGTCTTTATCAGAGGAACAGATTTTCATGGCAGAATAGGAAAGAACTAGAGTCAGTGTGGATTGTTCAATTTGAGGATGAATGTAGGAAATCTGTAGTTACAGTGCAGTTCCTCCTGCTACAAAGTAGAACCTGTATTATTCCATGTGGAGGTGAAGGAAGCTCATGGAATACCAGGCTAACCTTATGCTGCCCTTGGCAAATACAAATATGAATGTAGGTTTTGGATGGAGCCAACTCCAAGAAGTTTGAATTCTTAGAGTAGTCTGTAAGTAAGAGAATCTAGAAAGTGTGTTCCTTCAGACAAGGTGGCAGTTAACGGTGAATGTTGTGTGTGTGCTCAGTTACCGTGAAACTTAACGGCAAAACTGAGGTCAAACTTGGGATCCAGGATAAGATGTGAGACAAGTGAAACACACTGCAAGCAGGCTGAACAAATCAGCATGTACTCTTGTAAACCAAAACCATACACTAAAGCAACATTCAAGGAAACAGGCAGAGCTGAGTGTGAAGTCCCAGGGAGCAAGGTAGTGCAGTAGTAAGAGCCTCAGCTTGGACTTCCCTGATGGTCCAGTGGTTGAGAATTGGCAGCAGATGCCTGCCAATGCAGGGGGCACAGATTTGATCCCTGATCCAGGAAGATTCCACATGTCACTAGGCAACTAAGCCCATGTGCCACAACTACTGAAGCCCTTATTCTCGAGCCCGTACTCCACAGCAGGAGAAGTCACCGAAATGAGAAGCTCATGAAGCAAAACTAGAGAGTAACTGCTGCTGTCCACAGCTAGAGAAAGCCCTCTTGCAGCAATGAAGACCCAGTGCAGCCAAACATAAATAATAATTTAGAAAGATCCTCAGCTTCAGCCAGGTTTAGGGAACCTTACAACCTAGTCCCACCACTTTGTAGTTTTGTAACCTCAAGGAAGTTGCTTAATTCTGTGAGTGTTGGTTTCCTCACTTGGGACTGATAATACCTCCTTCAAAAGGTTGTTACAAAGTCTTAAGTGCTCTGTGTCATATAGACAAGTCACCTGTACATTGTACATGCCCAACAAAGGCCAGGTACTTGTCTAGAGGGCTAAAGTGGATGTGGATACCTAACCTACAGATATACACTGAGTTTAAACATGGTGTGAGGGACCAGGGCAAAAAGAAGGTGTGGGCATTTAGAGGCAGAGAGCAGTATATAAGGTGCTGGAAGAGAGACACAGGTACACATAAGATCTGGCTTTAGTTTGAGGACAGGTACTCATGGCACTCCCTCCTGGTTTTAAGCAATGTTGCTGGGGAGACGGACAAGGGCCGGAAGTGTGTACAACTCTACCTGGTGAGAAAGAGTCTTAGAGGTTCATTCGGGGGTGGGGACCTTCCCAATTCTACCTGCCGATCTTGATGCGAAAGGGTCACACATCACATTCTAAAGAAAAATAATTTCTGAATACCTATTCTTCGAAATTTCTAGCGCCGCTTCATCCATTCCTAAGCTTGAACAATAAAGAATTGATTATATCTATGCATTAAGGTGGTGAACCTAGCGCATACTGCAGACTCTTCCCTGTATTAAATTCTTCAAATGATGGGAAAACATTTTTAAGTGAATTTGTAATTAAAATCAACATTAAAAAAAGAATTCTTAGAGGACAAAATCTTTGAGGAATCATGGAGAGACTAAACATAGATAGGATGGGATTGAAGAATGGCACAGGAGCCCAGGACAAATGCAGAATGCCATAGAAAAACATTACTCATGAAAGTGGGAAGAGTACAGAAAAGCACCACTCAAAAGCAATGGAAGCCAGAAACAAGAGAGAACCAAGGACCAGAGAGCAGGCAGATTGCTACCTCAGTAGAAATTAGGAAGATCAAACCCTGGACTTGCCCTCTCCCCTAGGGACCAAGCATCTATGACAGGCCTTTCTGTCTGCAGACAGGGGGACTACTTGAGACATTGAGCCACTGATGATTTTAAGAGAAAGACTCAAATGTGTTCCTTTATATGGCTGAGAAATATTCCATTATATATATGTACCACAACTTCTTTATCTATTCATCTGTCGGTGGACATTAGGTTGCTTCCATGTCCAAGCTATTGTAAATAGTGCTGTGATGAACTTTGGGGTGCATGTGTCTTTTTCAGTTATGGTTTCCTCAGGGTATGTGTCCAGTAGTGGGATTACTGGGTTATATGGTAGTTTTATTCCTAGTTTTAAAAGGAATCTCCATACTCTTCTCCATTGTGGCTGTATCAATTTACATTCCCACCAATAGTGCAAGAGGATTCCCTTTCCTCCACGCGCTTTTCAGCATTTATTGTTTGAAGTGAGGGGGGGGGTGGCAAGGAGAGGGTGGGACGAACTGAGAGAGTAGCACATAACATTACCGTGAATAAAATAGAGAGCTAATGGGAAGTTGCTGTATAACAGAGTGAGCTCAACACAGTGCCCTGTCACAAGCTAGAGGGGTGGATGGGTAAGATTCAAGAGCAAGGGATGTAGCTATACTTATGGCTGATTCACGATGTTTTATGGCAGAAGCCAACACAATAGTGTAAAGCAATTATCTTCCAATTAAAAATAAATTTTAAAAAACTCGAATTCAGGAAAAAAAAAGAGAGAAACAAAGAGCTGTTATCACACAGGATGTCTGCCAAAGCAGCTATTAAGTGGCATGGCCCACTTACCCCAGAGCTTCACTGAAAAAAACGCAAAGCAGAAGCTCTGACAATGCTCTCATCCCTCCTCTGTGTTGGGTGGCATTAACAGGATGCACAGGATGTCAGGGAGTCTCAACTGTAATGTAAAACATACGTCAAAAATCACCTAAGATATTTAGAGTTGCTGGTAGACTTCCCTGGTGGTTCAGTGGTTGGGACTCCCTGCTTCCACTGCAGGGGGCTGGGGTTCCATTCCTGGTTGGGGAACTAAAATCCCACATGCCACACAATGTGGCAAAAAAAAAAAAAGTTATAAGAGTTGCTGATACTGAAAGGTTGTTGCTGAACCACGAAAGATGCCAGGATTCTTGGCCTCCGGAGGAGAAGAATTCAATCCGGGGCCAGTGATGAGGCTGGATCGCTTAGAGCTTTTATGTAATAAAGCTTTATTAAAGTATAAGAGATAGAGAAAGCTTCTGACATAGACATCAGAAGGGGGCAGAAGGAGTGCCCCCGCCCCCCGCTAGTCTTTAGCCAGATGTTATATAGCTACTAGCATTCTGCTAATTAGAGAAAGGAAATGTCTCAAAACTCAGAGACTGGCACCAGGCCCCTCACCCACAACATGCATTTTCAGATAACATTGGCTCCAGGTGAGTCATCCCGGCTCATAAAACGATTGACATGAATCTTGAAGGCAGGTTTCCAAGTAAATATAGAGTTTCATTAAATGAGTAAAACATACTGGTTTGTCAAGTGGGTTCTGAGTCTTAGGCGAATCGACTTGAAGACAGAGTCTAGGGTAAATACATAGTTCATTAACATAGCTTAAGACAAGTATTTCCATAAGAAAAATGCATTGGTTAGCTCAAGGTTTGAGAAAAGTTAAGTTCAGAAATGCTGGGCTGGATGAAGCACAGCTGGAATCAAGATTGCCAGGAGATATATCAATAACCTCAGATATGCAGATGACACCACCCTTATGGCAGAAGGCAAAGAACTGAAGAGCCTCTGGATGAAAGTGAAAGAGGAGAGTGAGAAAGTTGGCTTAAAGCTCAACATTCAGAAAACTAAGATCATGGCGTCTGGTCCCATCACTTCATAGCAAATAGATGGGAAAACAGTGGAAACAGTGGCTGACTTTATTTTTGGGCTCCAAAATCACTGCAGATGGTGACTGCAGCCATGAAATTAAAAGACACTTACTCCTTGGAAGAAAAGTTATGACCAACCTAGACAGCATATTAAAAAGCAGAGACATTACTTTGCCAGCAAAGATCCGTCTAGTCAAGGCTATGGTTTTTCCAGTAGTCATGTATGAATGTGAGAGTTGAACTATAAAGAAAGCTGAGCACTGAAGAATTGATGCTTTTGAACTGTGGTGTTGGAGAAGACTCTTGAGAGTCCCTTGGACTGTAAGGAGATCCAACCAGTCCATCCTAAAGGAAATCAGTCCTGAATATTCATTAGGACTGATGCTGAAGCTGAAACTCCAATACTTTGGCCACCTGATGCAAAGAACTGACTCATTTGAAAAGACCCTGATGCTGGGAAAGATTGAAGGCAGGAGGAGAAGGGGACAACAGAGGATGAGATGGTTGGATGGCATCACTGACTCAGTGGACGTGGGTTTGGGTAGACTCCAGTAGTTGGTGATGGACAGGGAGGCCTGGCATTCTGCAGTCCATGGGGTCGCAAAGAGTTGGACACAACTGAGCAACTGAACTGAACTGAACTGAACTGAAGTTCAGATGAAGCTAGGTGTCGTCATGGCAATACAGAATTGTAAGAGAAACCTCTTTTTAAATTTGTATAGAGAAGGGGAAAAAAATCTTAACACCTGTAGTTTGTTTCCTCCTGCCACTTAAGAGAGATAAAAAATGTCTGACACTTGCAGCCTATTTCCTCTGTTTGGAAACCCCTGGCCCTCCTGCCTGTTACCCTCACAATACCATGAAAGAGAGGCATGAAACAGGAGAATTTACATCCAAAGAACCGTAACTATAACCGAGTGTATAAATTTCCCATGGCTATTGAAAGAAATTGTCACAAACTTGGTGCCTTAAAACAATAGGAATTTAATTTCTCATGGTTCTGGAAGCCAGAAGTGTGAAACCAGTTCCACTGGCACCAAGTCAGGTGTCAGCAGGGCCAAAGTCCCTCTTGATGTTGTATACAGAAACTATGTGTAAGCTTTAAAATTTTTATAGCACTTTAACCATGTCTATTGAAACTAAAAAAAAAAAAATTGGGCTCAGATGGTAAAGAAACTGCCTGTGATGCAGGAGAACCAGGTTCGATCCCTGGATCAGGAAGATTCCCTTGGAGAAGGAAATGGCACCCCACTCCACTATTCTTGCCTGGAAAACTCCATGGACAGAGTAGACTTGATGGGCTACAATCCATGGGATCACAAAGAGTCAGACTTGACTGAGTGACTAACACTTTCACTTTTCATGGGAAAAAAAAAATCAAATGTTAGAAGAGATGTGAAGTGTTCCGTTAAACACTTTCAAATTTCAGTAGCAGAAAACACAAAGTGGCTTAAATAAGTGAAGGGAATTATTGAAATAATTGAAAACAGTCTGTGATTTATTATGTACACCCTATCTGCTCCTTCAATCTCATTACAGGCTGTCTTGCCACCCCAGGCATTCTCCATGAATTCCTATCTGGAATTCTCTCTTCCCTTTCTTCCCAATTCCACTCACCTATCCAATTTCTACTCATCTTTTCTCTCTAGGCATCTCTTCCTTTTTTTTACCTCACCCCAAGGCTTGCGGGATCTTAGTTCCCTGACCAGGGATTGAACCCATGCCCCTTACACTGGAAGCATGGGGTCCTAACCACCGGGTCTCCAGGAAATTCCCTAGGCATCTCTTCCTTAATGAAAACTTCTCCCCCTCTACACAGCCATGTAGCTCTTCTCATGGTACACTTTTAGAGCATCCTGAACTTTTGACCAGCATTTTCAAAACTGCAATTAATGTTTAGCCATGTATTTATTCCTTTACTGTCGGCCTCCTTGCCCAGAGATTCTAAACTCTGTAGAGCCAGGACTGTGTTCTTCCTCACCATCATTTTTTCTCTCACTAAACATTTGTTGAACAATTTGATGGGTTCATTTTTGTTAGACTCTGGATTTCCCTACAATGCTGAGGTCCAGATTCATAATGAAAGGGCTCTGAGTAACAGTTGTGCTGGCTGGTATCTGCAGTTACCCAGCCTTCCTTCTCAGATTCCTTTAAGCCACCTCTTTGAGGACAAATCATCTTTGACTTTGTTCCCCATCTCTCTTATCCCTCTTTCTGAGGACTCAGTGGCTTCCTTCAAAGGAGGAAGATGCTGAAGGGGGGAGGGAGGCATCGACTCATTAGAAGCACGTGGTTGACTCGTGGTCACAGATGACAATGTCAGAGTGGGCAGTGGCGAGTGGGCTTGATTTGGTGGAACGCTATGCTAAGGTGGTCTTGGATTTGGACCCTTCAGCTCTAGGGTCCATTTGTTCTTCAGCTATAGGACGTAACCTTAACTCCTGCCAACAGCTTCTTTACAAATCTGTGCTCTTTGACCCCAAGAATTGCATGAAGGGGGAGCTGGCTATACTTATCCTCATACTTCCCCACCCCCTGGCTTGGGATGAATAAAATGTAAATCCTGCTCTTAGCAGATACCAGCAGGTCAAAGAACACAGTGCACGTGACTGTTTTGAAAAGTAAATAAGGCAGATATGAGCTCATCATTGTCTTCCTCAGTGATGATGGATTGTGCATTGATTGAGTTACAGATTTATGTAAATTAATTATAACATAGGGATTGAGGATTTTCTCAATAATTGCTTTTACAGGACAATTGCTTTACAGTATTGTGTTGGTTTCTGCCAAACGTCAACATGAATCAGCCACAGTATACATGCCCCCTCCCTCTTGAACCTCCCTTCCACCTCCCACCCCTCTAGGTTGTTAGGGAGCCCCAGCTTGAGTTCCCTGAGCCATACAGCAAATTCCCACTGGCCATCTGTTTTACATATGGCAGTGTAAGTTTCCATGTTACTCTCTCCATACATCCCCCCCAAGAATAAGCAATTTCAATGCCTCTCCACAAACCCTCCTTTAGATTCCAAGAATGCTGTTTGTCTGGCAGATTTTGATGAAAGCATCAAGGGGACTGGAGATCCACAGGAAATCAAGAGAGATCTAGAGGTAATTTCTAGAAACAGTTTACTTTTCCATCTCTCTACTTCCTTATTCGTTCATTATCTTACTTCCTGTGGCCAATTAAAGGATGTTCCTATTTCGCTTAGGAAAGAAAGAAGTTTCAAGGCATTTCCTCAGTATGCATGGCCCCCACTCCCTTGCAGACAGCAGCATCTCTCTGGGTGGGTGTGGAGTTGGTCCTTGCTCTGGCCATTTCTGCATCTCTTTGGATGTCTCTCTACCCTCACAGGCTAAATACAAATACATTGAGCATGCCACATTTCTTGAAGAATTACCTCCAAGAGATTTCTCCAGAATAATTCCACAATTCCTGTCAGAGGTATTTGATGCCTGAAGACAAAGTAAATGAGATTTCTTTTCCCACTCTATTCAAATGCATGTGCTAAACTCCTAGGAGGGCCAGATACTAAGGCCCTCTGAAGCACATGGGAACGATGGGATTGATCCCCAGCTCAAAAGAGACTATACTTGGCCCCACAGGTTAAGATCCTAAATAACTGTTTCCCCAGAGAGGAGACAAACCAGGAGACATATAACCTCTGTAGACCACAGCTCCTGGATAGACTCTGACCCGTTAGGGCAGCCCGCCCCCTGGAGTTCTCCAGGGTGCTGAACTTCCAACCCAGTTGGTAAGAACTCTCCATCCACGCCTGGCCTTTCTGGCTCAGTGGCTCCAGATCTGAGCCCCTTCCCTGACCGGTGTCTTAGTGCAGAAGTTCCTGTGCTGGCCTCGTCCGTAGTCTTTCCTCCCTGCTGTGTCCTGACTCCTGGGGTGTTCACTGTGTTCTTCTGGACTTGGTCTGGCTCTTTAATCTCCTGCCTGACACAGGCCCAACCCAAAGTCCCTGTTCCTAGCCAGACTCTGAGCACCCCCTGCCCCTTGTTTAAAACCTCTCCCTTTCCCTGGTTTATCTAAAAATTCTATCTGTACTTTGAGGTCTAGCTCAAATTCCTCTTCCTCTAAGCAGTCTGCTCTGACAGCTCTGGCCTGGGATTATCTTTTGCTCCTTATAAAACTAAACTACACTTTCTTGAAGAGTTCTCCATGCCCAGGCTCATGCCCAACCTGTGGGCTCCTTGAGATTCTACCCATTTTCCATTTGCTCATAGCCTGTGCCCCACCCTCCAAAGTTCCCCAAATATAGTACTAATTCATAAGCACTTTTGACTTGATTTATGGGCTTCCCTGGTGGCTTAGATGGTAGAGAATATGCCTACAATGCAGGAGACCTGGGTTTGATCCCTGGGTGGGGAAGATCCCCTGGAGAAGGGAATGGCAACCCACTCCAGTATTCTTTCCTGGAGAATCCCATGGACAGAGGAGCCTGGTGGGCTACAGTGCATGGGGTTGCAGAGAGTCAGACACGACTGAGTGACTTTCATTCACTCATGGCTTCTGTGCAGGCCCTGGGGCTGCTGGTCCTGTGTGTGGTAAACAAGGGAAACGTTTCTTTTGAGATGCTGAAGGACCTAAGAACTGAAGAGCTGGTTGAGCATTCTCCAGATAAGGAAACTCGGGACCTCATTCAGCATCTCTTAGTTCCTGGGGACAATGTGAAGGGCCATCTGAGTGGCCTGCTGGCTCATCCCTTCTTTTGGAGCTGGGAGAGGTAAGGAAAACAGTGTCTATTACAGGCCTCTAGGATGGAGATGGTGAGTGTATTAGTCAGGGCTCTTTATATTGGGTTGGCCAAAAAGTTCATTTGGATTTTTCCATAAGATGTTACTACAGAAGAACCCCAAAGAACTTTCTTTCTTTTTTTCCCAAAGGACTTTTCAACTAACCTGATATATATACAAAATAAGGAAATGCCTCATGCAATACTGGGGCTGAGAAGTTCTACCATCTGCCCTCTTCAAGCTGGTGACCCAGGAAATTCAATTGTATAATTTAGTCTGAATTCAAAGGCATGGGAACCAGGAGAGCTGAAGATGCAGATTCCAGTAAAGGTTTGAAGGCCTGAGAACTTGGAGAACTGAGGGCAGGATTAGAACCATGTCCCAGCCAAAGTGATCAGCAGGGAGGTGGCAAATTTCCCCTTTCATTCTGTTCAGGCTGTCCATAGATTGGATGATGCCCACTTGCACTGGGAAGGGCTGTCTGCTTCACTGGTTCAAATGCTAATCTCCTCTGGAAACATCCCCACAGACACACCCAGAGGAATATTTAATCTGAGTGCTATGTGCGTGGTTGGTGAAATTAACAGATGAAATTAACCATCATGGTGAGGCGGGCAGGAGTCAGGCTGGGAATCAGCAGACCCAGGCTTTTCTCTCAGCTTGGAATTTCCTGGGTGGATGTCATCGGAGGAGTGACTTAACTTCTCTGGATCTGATTTTTTTCCATTGAAGAATAGAAAAATGATTCGGGCAAAAAGAGAGAGCGAGAGCTCTCCTATTGTGCAGATTGTTTAGAGACATGCTTTTACTACTCTTATCAAATGCCAAAACCTAATAGTTTTCTCTTTCTGGGAAAAGTGGGAAGGGTGGAATGATCATGATCATTCTGTCATTCTCAGCCGCTACCGGACCCTCCGGGATGTGGGAAATGAATCTGACATCAAAACACGAAATACTGGTGGCAAGATCCTCCAGCTTCTGCAACCTGAAACATCTGAACTTCCCACAAGTTTTTCCCAGTGGACAAATGAGGTATGAACAACTTCTATGGTCTGGGAGTTATTCCAGGAATAAGAACCTGTTATGTTGGTTTTCTTAACTTTTTTATACTATGAGCCTGGTTCAACCAAGGGGTAAGAGGGCTTTTCCTTGTCCTCCTCCCATCCCAGACCCCCTCAGCTCTTTTGATCTCTGCTCCAGGCCAGGTCCTCCTGAGATACTCATCTAGGCTCCTCTTTAGAATGGACTTTTCACAGCCCAAAAGCCTTTTCCTCTTCTGTGACTCTTTCTCTCAAGCTGTATTTTCTGAGTGAGGTCTGACTAATAATTCTATTTCCATTGTGACAAGAGCAGCTGATTAAATAGAGTTTAATCCAAGGGAGGTACTTCCACAGGGGCATTTCCATCCAGGGAGACTGGCTGCCTCTGATGCTGGTGAACAGCCCACCGTTGAGCACCCACACACCCACACCTACTTTCTGGATGAGAAAACAGAAAAACAAAAAATAATCATCTTTCAAATTCCTTCTCTTCTAGAGAAGGTCTACCCAACTTGAACTCAATATAGTGGAACATGGGCTTCACAGGTGGCACTAATGGTAAAGAACCCACCTGCTAATGTAGGAGACCTAGGGACGTGGGTTTGATCCCTGGGTTGGGAAGATCCTCTGAGGGAAGGCACGGCAGCCTACTTCAATATTCTTGCCTGGACTTACCTCAAGAAACAAGAAAAAAGTCAAATAAATAACCTAACTCTACACCTAAAGCAATTAGAGAAGGAAGAAGTGAAGAACCCCACGGTTAGTAGAAGGAAAGAAATCTTAAAAATTAGGGCAGAAATAAATGCAAAAGAAACTAAAGAGACCATAGCAAAAATCAACAAAGCTAAAAGCTGGTTTTTTGAAAAAATAAACAAAATTGACAAACCATTAGCAAGACTCATTAAGAAACAAAGAGAGAAGAACCAAAGTAACAAAATTGGAAATGAAAACGGAGAGATCACAACAGACAACACTGAAATACAAAGGATCATAAGAGACTACTACCAGCAGCTCTATGCCAATAAAATGGACAACTTGGAAGAAATGCACAAATTCTTAGAAAAGTATAACTTTCCAAAACTGAACCAGGAAGAAATAGAAGATCTTAACAGAGCCATCACAAGCAAGGAAATCGAAACTGTAATCAGAAATCTTCCAGCAAACAAAAGCCCAGCACCAGATGGCTTCACAGCTGAATTCTACCAAAAATTTAGAGAAGAGCTAACACCTATCTTACTCAAACTCTTCCAGAAAATTGCAGAAGAAGGTAAACTTCCAAACTCATTCTATGAGGCCACCATCACCCTAATTCCAAAACCAGACAAAGATGCCACAAAAAAAGAAAACTACAGGCCAATATCACTGAGAACATAGATGCAAAAATCCTTAACAAAATTCTAGGAAACAGAATCCAAAAACATATTTAAAAAATCATACACCATGACCAAGTGGGCTTTATCCCAGGAATGCAAGGATTCTTTAATATCCGTAAATCAATCAATGTAATACACCACATTAACAAATTGAAAGATAAAAACCATATGATTATCTCAATAGATGAAGAGAAAGCCTTTGACAAAATTCAACACCCATTTATGATTAAAACTCTCCAGAAAGCAGGAATAGAAGGCACATACCTCAACATAATAAAAGTTATATATGACAAACCCACAGCAAGCATTACCCTCAATGGTGAAAAATTGAAAGCATTTCCCCTGAAATCAGGAACAAGACAAGGGTGCCCACTCTCACCACTCTCACCACTACTATTCAACATAGTTTTGGAAGTTTTGGCCATAGCAATCAGAGCAGAAAAAGAAGTAAAAGGAATCCAGATAGGAAAAGAAGAAGTGAACTCTCTCTGTTTACCGATGACATGATCCTCTACATAGAAAACCCTAAAGAGTCTACCAGAAAATTACTAGAGATAATCAAGGAATACAGTAAAGTTGCAGGATATAAAATTAACACACAGAAATCCCTTGCATTCCTATACACTAACAATGAGAAAACAGAAAGAGAAATTAAGGAAACAATACCATTCACCATTGCAACAAAAAGAATAAAATACTTACGAGTATATCTACCTAAAGAAACAAAAGACCTATACATAGAAAACTATAAAACACTGATGAAAGAAATCAAAGTGGACACAAACAGATGGAGAAACATACTGTGTTCATGGATTGGAAGAATCAATATTGTCAAAATGGCTGTACTACCGAAAGCAACCTATAGATTCAATGCAATCCCTATCAAGCTACCAATGGTATTTTTCACAGAACTAGAACAAATAATTTCACAATTTGTATGGAAATACAAAAAACCTCGAATAGCCAAAGTAATCTTGAGAAAGAAGAATGGAACTGGAGGAATCAACCTGCCTGACTTCAGGCTCTACTACAAAGCCACAGTCATCAAGACAGTATGGTACTGGCACAAAGACAGAAATATAGATCAATGGAACAGAATAGAAAACCCAGAGATAAATCCATGAACCTATGGACACCTTATCTTCGACAAAGGAGGCAAGGATATACAATGGAAAAAAGACAACCTCTTTAACAAGTGGTGCTGGGAAAACTGGTCAACCACTTGTAAAAGAATGAAACTAGAACACTTTCTAACACCATACACAAAAATAAACTCAAAATGGATTAAAGATCTAAATGTAAGACCAGAAACTACAAAACTCCTAGAGGAGAACATAGGCAAAACACTCTCCGACATGAATCACAGCAGGATCCTCTATGACCCACCTCCCAGAATATTGGAAATAAAAGCAAAAATAAACAAATGGGACCTAATGAAACTTAAAAACTTTTGCACAACAAAGGAAACTATATGCAAGGTGAAAAGACAGCCCTCAGAATGGGAGAAAATAATAGCAAACGAAGCAACAGACAAAGGATTAATCTCAAAAATATACAAGCAACTCCTGCAGCTCAACTCCAGAAAAATAAATGACCCAATCAAAAAATGGGCCAAAGTACTAAACAGACATTTCTCCAAAGAAGACATAAAGATGGCTAACAAACACATGAAAAGATGCTCAACATCACTCATTATCAGAGAAATGCAAATCAAAACCACAATGAGGTACCATTACACGCCAGTCAGGATGGCTCCTATCCAAAAGTCTACAAGCAATAAATGCTGGAGAGGGTGTGGAGAAAAGGGAACCCTCTTACACTGTTGGTGGGAATGCAAACTAGTACAGCCGCTATGGAGAACAGTGTGGAGATTTCTTAAAAAACTGGAAATAGAACTGCCATATGACCCAGCAATACCACTTCTGGGCATACACACTGAGGAAACCAGATCTGAAAGAGACACGTGCACCCCAATGTTCATCGCAGCACTGTTTATAATAGCCAGGACATGGAAGCAACCTAGATGCCCATCAGCAGATGAATGGATAAGGAAGCTGTTGTACATATACACCATGGAATATTACTCAGCCGTTAAAAAGAATTCATTTGAATCAGTTCTAATGAGATGGATGAAACTGGAGCCCATTATACAGAGTAAAGTAAGCCAGAAAGATAAAGAACATTACAGCATACTAATACATATATATGGAATTTAGAAAGATGGTAATGATAACCCTATATGCAAAACAGAAAAAGAGACACAGATGTATAGAACAGACTTTTGGACTCTGTGGGAGAAGGAGAGGGTAGGATGTTTCGAGAGAACTGCATGTATATTATCTATAGTGAAACAGGTCACCAGCCCAGGTGGGATGCATGAGACAAGTGCTCGGGGCTGGTGCGCTGGGAAGACCCAGAGGAATCGGGTGGAGAGGGAGGTGGGAGGGGGGATCAGGATGGGGAATACATGTAACTCCATGGCTGATTCATGTCAATGTATGACAAAACCCACTGCAATGTTGTTAAGTAATTAGCCTCCAACTAATAAAAATAAATGAAAAAAAAAATTCTTGCCTGGAGAATCCCATGGACAGAGGAGCCTGGCAGACTACAGTCCATAGGGTCGTACAGAGTCAGACATGGCTGAAGCAACTTAGTACACATGCACTTATAGTGGAGCATAATAATTAATCACTCATTCAGTCTAATTGGCACTATCAGAACTTTCACTATTATGAATTAGCAGACATCTATCAAATACCAGTATGTGTTAGGACCATGCAAGGTCATGGATATACAAAGCAGAGTATGGCATCCAAGTGGGGCTGAGAGACCTACAGAAGGGATGGCTGTGGGATACATGCTGGGTACCCCTGAGATATAAGCAGAGCATTATGTGAAAATCCACAACTCTCAAATCTTTGAGTGGGACCAACAGCTTCCATATCTTAGGCCCGAGGTAGGACTCTGCTTCTCCCATACCTCTTCGTTTCTGGGTCTCATTTTGCTTTCCTTCCCTTGTCTGCCTCTAGACCACACATCACACTCATAATTGTTAGCTTAACATCTGTCTTTCCTGCTACCCAGTAAGTTCTGTAAGGAACTGATAGTACCACCTGGGCAGCCTTCTAGTCACCAGTTACTCTTTCTAAGGGGCCCTCTGGCTTCATGGTTGTTGCATTATTCTCTTACTCCAAACTATTTCTAAATATCAGAACTGTCTACAAAGAGTGTGAGCACAAATAGTCAGTCAGTGGGAATTTGCTGTATGATGCAGGGAGCTCAAATGAGGTGCTCCGTGACAACCTAGAGGGGTGGAGGTGGGAGGGAGGGGACATATGTATATACTTATATACATATACATATAAGTATATGTATATATTTATGGCTGATTCATGTTGCTATATGGCATAAACTAACACAGTATTATAAAGCAATCATCCTCCAACTAAAAATTAAAAAATAAATGAAAAAAAAAGTGAGAGCACAAAGAAGAAGGCATTACTAATACGAGAGCAGCTGCCCTGGGACACCTCGGGACAAGGAGAAATATGTAACCTTTGGAAACATAACTACAAACAAAACAAAGAACAGCCACACTCACTATGGCAATGGCTGCAAGGCCTGGTCTCAGTCAGGACAGCCCTCTTTAAAGAGATGTAATCAGGTATGAATTTGGAAAGGTGGCCACAAGGATAGCAGTACTGTATAGTATAATGAGCAAATTTCCTCATGTAGTAGCCAATGATTTCCTAAACCATGTTTGACTGTAGTTAATTTCTATGAAAACAATTCTCTTGGAAAATAGATACACAAATTTAAAGTTATTTATAGTTCCACATCCAAATACAACCACAGTTAGCACTATGGTGTACAGTGTTTACTTCCATTCTTTTCTATTAATTTGCTTTATTAATTAGTTGTAAGTTTGGCATATATTCAAATTTGTATTCTGCCTTTTTGTATTAACATTCTATCAGGATTTATTTTGTGTTGTTACCACATTTTTGTGTAATTTTTCTGTAGGTTGATGAATCTGTGATGAAAAAAATGAATGCATTTTATAAAAAAGGGAATACCTATCAGAACACTGTAGGTGACCTGCTGAAGTTCATCCGGAATTTGGGAGAGCACATTAATGAACAAAAGAATACAAAGTAAGAACTGTTTTTGCTCTTATAGGTCATATATGAGATGAGAATAATTTAAAAATTCCAGTTCTGAGTTTACATCTGCTATTCGATGGAAAGAAGAAAACTTATCTTGATGAAGGGAAAGTCATTCCTCCCTTCTGTTTGGAAAAGTCCCACCACAAGGGTCTTATAGTCAGTGATGGACATTCCCATCAGGTTCTCATCTTCCTTTTCAGTTTTTGTTGAGCCTGCTTGAACAGAAGGCTAGCGACTCTTGTGAGAAGAAACAGAGGGGACTGGGTGGCCAGGCAAAGCGAATGTACATTATAAGTGTAGCCCCATGTTAATTCAGTTAGCTTTTGCTACCAAAAACCTCAGTTGCAGACTCACCCAAAATTTGCAGTTTTCAGGGCTCTTTTGGATTTCAGCATTGTAGATAAGAGATTGTAGAATTGTACTATGTCCATTTTATAGATAATAAAACTGAGGCACAAAAAAACTTAAGTTGATGAAATTTACTGTTAGTTGAACAGTCAGGAGATTAATCTTGCTCTGTCAGATTCCAAAGTCTTTGTTTATTCTGCTATAGACACCAGGGGAGCAAAAAAAAAAAATCTCCAGGGCCATATACTGTAAAAGGGAGGATGCAGAGTTTGGGGCAGGCATATCAAAATATTTCTGTTTCATTTCAGGATGAAGTCAAAAATTGGAGAACCTTCCCAGTATTTTCAGGAGAAATTTCCTGATCTGGTCATGTATGTCTATAAGAAACTACAGAACACAGAATATGCAAAGCATTTTCCAAAAAACCTCAATCCGAACAAAGCCGACGTGTGATGGAATTGGTGGTGGTGAGCAGGCTGGCCAGCCCTAGTTAGTGCCTTTTGAATTCAGGGAGGTACAATTTTGCTGTGCGAGTCACAACTCTCTAGGACTCTTGATTTTTTATTTTTATTTTTTGGCCATGCCATGCAGCACGTGGGATCTTGTTTCCCCCACCAGGGATTGAACCTGGGCCCTCTGAAGTGGAAGTGTGGAGTCCCAGCCATTGGACCACCAGGGAATTCCCTGGGCCTTTTGACTAACCTCGTTGCTTGTGAGTGATAAATTGGGTAGCCGATGTGTCAGTTCCTGGTGCAGTGCTCAACATTCTCCATGTTTACTACAACAACAACAACAAAAAGTGTATGCTCAAACTACTTTGGTCCTTAGTAAAGCTTAGTGGCAAGAGCTGAAAAGGCATCCTGCTAAGATGGCATCCTCTTGTCAATTGCACAAAAGGAGTGAGTTCCTAGACCCCTAATGCTTTATTTTTACATCAATTATCTCATGTAATTATTCCAACAACCTTGCAAGATAGGATTAATGTCCCCATTTAGGAACTGAAGAGCCTGACAGACTCAGGGAGTTTGAACAACTTGACCCAGATTATACAGCCTGCACAGAGTGCCGTATAAATGGATGTGGTGTTATTGTTAACTCACGCGGTCACCTTAGCACTCAGTGACTAGCTCAGAGCTCTTCTGCATGAGACCCAAAAAGAATAGGTCAAAGGGACTCTAGGTGGCTTGTTCATCCATCCATTCATTCATTAATATGTGCTGAGCACCAACTAGTACGTCTAAGCACCAATTATACAACGAGCCGCGCTCCTTCTAGAGCCACTCGTGCTCATTTTCTATGACCTAAGGCAGTACTTTTGAACTGTTGACAATCTTGCCTTCAGAGGCCATTTGGCAGTTAAAATGGCTGTCTGAGCAGAGGGTAGGGGGTGGTACTGGCGTTCCAGTAGATAGAGGTCAGGGATGCTGCTGAATGCTCTATGATATGCGCAGGACAGCACCCCCTCCCCAAAGAGAATTATCTAGCCTAAAATATCAGTGGCTCTGAGGATGAGAAACTCTGCCTTAAGAGGCTGTGACACCTCTGAACTGGCTGGGAGCCCAGGGCTGTGGAGTGTGTGGCCCACCTCACGAAGGAGTGACCAGAGTCTGCTGTCTTGCCTTAGGATCTGTAATGAGACAGTACCCGGGTCGCCTCCTCAGGAAGTCCTCTGAGGCCCCTCACTTTCCACACCGCCGTCTGAGCGTCCTATCTGCTCCCGAGCACCACAGCCACCCCAGAGCATGCTTCTCTCCACCCAGAGCGTGGCTCTTCCTCCCTGGAATCTGAGCCCCTTAGGGCCCTTGATATATTGATGTGTGTCGTTACAGTCTAGCAAAGTGTCTGCCAATGATCAATAATTATTCACTGAAAAATGAACAATCCATCTTCATAGATGAGTAATATTTGTAGGTGACATTTTGATGGTGTTTTATAATTTATAAATTACACCTGCATATTTTATCTTTTAGTTTTATAAATAATCCTGTAAGGTAAGCGTTATGATCCTCATTTCGCAGATGAGGAAACTAAGGTTAGAGATGCGTTGATTTCCTCTAATGCATAGGAAGTGTCACTGTCTCGATCTGAAAAGATTTTCTGGCTTGGAGCCTGATTTCTTTCCATTTATCCTCACTGTGGTGGTGAAGATGTAGCTTTGTAGTGAGAGGAGCTGGGGAAGAACATGTCTCTTAGGTTCTTTTTTAAAAAGGAGGTGGGGACTTCGCTGGTGGCCCAGTGGTTAAGAATTTGCCTGCCAGTGCTGGGAACAGGGGTTCGATCCCTGGGCCAGGAAGATTCCACAAGCCGAGGGGCAACTAAGCCCCTCGTTGTTGTGTGCAACAACAGCTGAGCCTGTGCTCCAAAGCCATGCCATAACCAGAGGAAGCCCGCGTGCAGCAGTGAAGATCCAGCACAGCCATAAACTAACAGATAAATAAACATTTACAAATAAATAAATAAAAAGAAGGTGGCCTCCGTATAGCTCAGGGAACTCTACTCAGTGCTCTGTGGTGATCTAAATGGAAGGAAATCCAAGGAAGAGGGGATATATGTGTATACATATAGCTGACCTGCTTTGCTCAACTGTACACCAATAAAAGTAAAAAATGAAAAAGAGATGGTATCTACTTCCCTGGTTGTCCAGTGGTTAAAACTCTGCGCTTCCAGTGCAAGGGGCACAGGTTTGATCCTTGGTCAGGGAACTAAGGTCCTGCATGCCTCATGGCACAGCCAATAGATAAATAAAAAATATTTAAAAGGAGGTGGTCTAAAACAGGTGTTATGGAATGAAATTAACAAGTGCTGGAAGAAACTTAAGACTTTTCTTTAAGGTTTCAGGAGCAGCAGTTTTAAAAGTAAGATTTGATTTTCTGATTTATAGTGAGTACCTAGATATGACAATCAAATGTCCATTAGTAAAATTCAGTAAAACTTTGAATTATCTGAATGTCTGATTTTCTGAGTGACATTTCCACTTTAGAGAGTGGTGATATCTACAGTAGGAAATGCTCAATGATTAACTCCTGGGTAAATTTTAAGAAAGGCATTCTGCCCTTTAGTAATGGGAAAAAGAACCTAATTTTAGCCCTCCATTAATCTGGGACACCCTGGATGTCCTTGTAGAAAAAGATCTGATCATTTTTCTCCCTGCTTTAATCCTCTAAGGGTTTCTGTGGATATGCTGCAAATATTTCTGATTCAGTTGCCATTATCACAAACATTTAATTGAGCTTGTAGTTCATGTTAGATACTGTGTTAGGCACCGTGATTCTGTGCATGGACTTGTCAAGCACAGGTGCCAGTTACACAGAGATGAGGGGAGCTTGCCTGCCTAGAATGCACTAAACAAGCAACATAAGAGAGAAAATTATGTTAAGAATAATCATTACCACCTCTTGAGCACCTACTGTTTTCTAGAGCCAAATAATTTTACATATGACATCCCGAAACACGCATGACACTGCCATAGATGCAATTATTCCCATTTTATAGAAGATGCAACTAATGCTTAGAAAGGTTTGCGAAGTATGGGTACTAAATGGACGAGCCAAGGTGCAAACCCAGTTATGCAAGTCCATAGAGCGTGGTTTTTCTGGACAGCCAAATATGGCTTTTCATCATCCTTTTCATCATCTAATCCTCAGCTACAGGAGTTCAGGTAGGCTGGGGGGTCACTGTGAGGATGTGTCTCGGGGCTTTTCATCCATTCCTTCGTTAAGCCTAGGAGATCAAAATTACCCATGACCTTCAGAGCAACCAAATCCAGTGGTCCTTCTCTGTCTTCATCAAGCTTACACCACAGCTGATTCAGATAACTCTTCTTTTGCCCATGCCCCCGTCTTCTTCAGCACCCTCAGGCTCACACTCACCTGCTCTTCCTCCCCACTGGTTGTTCCTCCACACTGTCCTCTGCCAGCTAGCTCCTCTGCTCAACGCTAACCACCGAGTGTCCCCAAATTAATCCTCAAGCAAGTCACTCTTTTCTCTTTCCCTAGAGTGTTCTTTTCAAGAGCCATGACTAGTATCATCATAAACAGGCAGATATCCATGTTCTGAAATTTATCCACCTAATTGCCTACAAATTATCCATCTTTTGCTTTTTCCCCCATGCCCCCAGACCCTATCTATTAACAAATCCAGTAGGTTCTCACACCAAAATAAATTCTAAGTCTGTTCACAGCCATTTGTGTCTGCTATGCTCTGACCACCATCATTTCTTGTGTGGACTGAAACGTGAGCCTTGAAATTGGCTACTGTGCTTTCTTCCTCCTGCTCCAATAATCTTTTATCCACAAAGTGATCTTGAAAAAACATGGATCACATTGGGTCACTTCCCTGATGAATCCTTCCGTGACTTTCCATGGCAGTTAGGATAAAACCCAACTGTTGCCACCATATGCAGGGCCTTATGTGAGTTGGCGGCATCTATATTATTGTGCTCATTGCTTTGCTTTCTTACCTGGCAGGCTCAACTCCTCCCATACTGGCCTTATCTCTGTTCCTCAAGAATGCTGAGACCTTTGCTTCCTGGAGGTTGTGGCTCTTGTTCGCCCCTCTACCTGGATCTAATTCTCCTTCATCATTTAATTCTCAGCTACAGTGTCTGTACTTTGATGGGCCTTCCCCTTATCCAAAGTTGTTCATAACTGTCATTACTTTTGAGGACACCATAGCACTATCTGAATGTTATCTGAGATTATCAAATTTTTTTCACATTAAAAAAAACTTTCTTCTTCATGATGATGATAACATAAGCTCCATGATAGCAGTACTGCTGTCATATTCACCATTATATTCTATCTCTGACACTTAGTACAGTGCCGGGAACAAATTAAATTTTGATATATTTTTACTGGATGGAGAAGTAAATGCTCCTATGAGTGTAATATGTCACCCTTAAGTTAGAATTATCTCATTATAAGCCTTTCTTTAATATATAAACATCTAGAAGTTTGAGGGTTTTTTTCTTGTTCATTGTATTTGGCACTGAATAGGTGGTTTGGTAGAATTTGTTGTGTTTGGTTGATCCTGGAAGTCAAGAAACACCTGGAGTAACAGGCAAATTTGGCCTTGGAGTATGGAATGAAGCAGGGCAAAGGCTAATAGAGTTTTGCCAAGAGAACGCACTGGTCATAGCAAACACCCTCTTCCAACAACACAAGAGAAGACTCTGTACATGGACATCACCAGATGGCCAACACCGAAATCAGATTGATTATATTCTTTGTAGCCAAAGATGGAGAAGCTCTATACAGTCAGCAAAAACAAGACCGGGAGCTGACTGTGGCTCAGACCATGAACTCCTTATTTCCAAATTCAGACTTAAACTGAAGAAAGTAGGGGAAATCAATAGACCATTCAGGTATGACCCCAATCAAATCCCTTATGACTATACAGTGGAAGTGAGAAATAGATTTAAGGGACTAGATCTGATAGACAGAGAGCCTGATGAA